CCACAGCATCCCCCAAGCCAGACCCAGGAGTCGCCAGCCACTGTCCTGAACCCAGGGCCCTCAGGCTCCCGGACAGCAGGGCTTTGCAGATCCCCTGTCACCCCTGCACAGGAAGTCCTATCTGGAAACCATGCCCTCAGCCCACCAGGATGCATCTAGGACCCCTGCGGGACCAGCCCTGAGGGGGCAGTGCCCAGACCCGGCTTGAACAGGATCACCTGTCTTGCTGAACCCCCGTCCTCACCCCATGCCCTTTTCTGTAGAACCCCAAGACTTCTGTGTCCCGAGGACAGACATGAAGCTTCTCCACCTGTCCCCCAGCTCTGCTGCGCTGATAAAAATGCCTTCCACCCATCCACTGCTGCCTGCTTGCTGGGCAACAGGGGCAGGTGGCCAACCCTGGTCCCTCAGGGTCCTGGGGGCTGGGGCCTTTGCCCCTAAACCCCGGAGCAGGAAGCACAGAGTCTGCTGTGCAGAATCACGCTGGGCCTGGCATCTACCTTCTTGCCTCTGCAGAGCCCCTTGGGTGAAGGGAAGAAGCTCTGGACAGGTTGCAACCCAGAGAAAAAGCCAGGAGCACCTTGTGGTTTAGAGCAGAATGGAGCTCATGGGGGCTGTTCCTGTGGGGGACAGTCAGGGTTCAAGGTGACAGCAGAGGAGGTACAGGATCTTCACAGAGCCCTGGGGCCATGGGGAAAACGGGAAAAGCCCACCCCTGCCACATGAGGACTATATCCTGCCAGCCTCCCTGGAAGACACCCACCCAGACCTGTGGAGATACCACCTCTCCGGTCAGGAAGCCACACGGTGCTTCTCCTCTCTCCTGCCCTCTGGCCCCTGGTGGAGACCCGCTGATGGAGACCACAGAGCCACAGAGTGGCTGTGAGAGGATTTAACACTAACCAATTGGCTTTCCACATTTACATGTGAGTTGTCTAAGGCCCAGGCCACTTGTATGGAGATGTCAGCAAGTGATCCTCTCTGAGTCGCTGGTCCCCGTGGAGGCCTGGACTGGCCTGTGAGGCTGTGACACCCCAAAGGACAAGACAAGGCCATAGCGGAGGATGCCTGGCTCCAACCCCAAAGACTAAAGGAGGCTGCAGCTGCGGGCTCCACACGGCTACTATAAAGGTCACCCTGAAGTTAAGGTAGTTCTCCTGATTGACATAGTTTACTACTTGGGAAAATACCTCCCAAGGTCCTGCTAGATTCCTGCATTTTCTTAAGTATCCCCTTCCTTTGTTTGATAACCAAATAAATATAGGCTACCCAGAGAAGATCTTGGTCTTAACCGCAGAATCTCGAATTCTGTGAGAGCTTGGAACCTCCTGGAGACCTCAAATCATACCATTTGTCTCATTTATTTAAGCCTTCACCATCCACTCGTTTGGGAGGTTGCAGGCCTGATCTCTGCCGTAACAAGGGAAGTACTGGTGCAGTACACCCCAGATGCCAAGAAGATGTGGGCCGGAGGCCGGGTCAGCATGACGGCCACCCAGAGGCCAGAGGTACAGCCATAGGGTGGGCTCAGGGGCCTCCACAGCCAGTGCAGGGTTATGTCAGGCCTCGCTGAGCAACTTTAGGCCTCAAGCAGAAGTGGGGCCTGCCTGGGCCAGCTCCAGAAGGAGGGACCCCTGAGAGGTTCCTGGCTTTGGGGGTCAGAGTGTCCACTTTCTCTCCACATTTTGGTCCTCTGGGAGAATCTTGAGAGAAACTCTCCCAGACTTGCTCAGGGCATCGTTGGTCACAGAGCCTGGGTCTCCCATTCTGCAAGAGTATGGCGGGAGCTGTAGGTCGGCAGGCACTGAGGCTCCCTCAGGACTCACTCATGTGCAGGGGAAGAGGCGAAAGGACATTGCCCTGCAGCAGTTCAGCTCCTGCCTGGCCTTCTGGTGGCCGGAGTCCCACGAATGCTCAGGTTGCCAGGAAGAGTCTCAGCTAAGGCATCTCCAATCTCCAGCTTTCTATGACTCAAGAGCCCAGAACATACACTGCTGGCATGGTGACAGTTGAAGGCTTTGGCTCTGTAGAATTTTCACCTGGAGCTGAGGCTCCAGGATGTGGTCTGAGGCAGTGGTGAAGCGTCAGAGACAGTGACAGCAGTTAATTTGGTGTGGGACAGAGGTGCCTCCCATTAGCTGAACTGGAAACCCTGACAGGCTCATCAACTGCAAGCATAATGGAGCCCCTGTCGAGCTCTGCATTAAACTCCTCAGTGCTGCTGCTAGTGCCTGATTAGATTTTAAACACCAAGGCCATCCCTGGAGAGCCCTGCCACTGCCCCTGGGGAAGCCACATGCTGTGTCCTCAGCGCCAGCCAGTGTGAAGGCAGGAACCAGAGCCCCATGCTGCAGATCCTGGCAGGGTTGTCAAGGTTGTGACCCAGCACGCAAGACAGGTGGCCCAGCCAGCCTGGGCTGTGACTGGCCCCAGAGCAGGGCTCAGGTCCAGGGTCCCTCTCTCTGCAGACACTGGCCTGGACCAGGCCCTAGGTGCAGACTAAAGGACAGAGCAGGGACCAGTCAAGCTGTTCTTTCTCCTGGAAGACAGGAGGGTGGCCTGGTCCCAAAGGCCCCCTGGCTTCTTGGGAATCTGCTCGTGTAAGACTCATGGAGAGGTCACCTGCAGGTCACAGGAGAAATGCTGTTTGTGGTCACCCACAGAAACCAAACACCTAAGCCTGGGGGCCAGCGCTGGCTGGAATGTGACTCTTCCTACCATCTCCAAATACCAACCGCAACCCCACGTCTCACAGTGTGGTGATAGGTTCCATGCTAGCCCTGCAGTGGGCTGGGGAGATTAATGGGGTCCCCGAATGCGACGCCTCAGCAGGGGCTGGGCTGTGCAGTGTGGACAGCCAGATACTTCCTGATCCCTCCAGAGCCTCAGCTGTCAACAAGACAGCTCCTGCTGTGGAATCTTAGCTTGGCCACCTGCCCATTGCCCTTGGAGTGGGCAGCAGTGGACAGGAGGGAGGGCGCTTTCACCAGCATGGCAGAGCTGGGGTGGCTCGGAACAGTGGCTGGCGATTCCTACCTCACTCCAGGTGTTTGGAACAGGGCGCTGTAAAACTGACAACTGCATATTCCTGCAAGCCCGACAGCCTTGAGGGCAGAGGAGCTGGGGTGGGTGCATTAGGGGCTGAGACGCCACACATCATCCGCTGCAAGCAGCCGATCCTCGGGTGACTAACAGAATGCAGGCAGAGCCAAGTAGGCATCTGAAGTAGAGTGTGAGGTAGTAAAGGGTAGATGCAAAACGATGGTAGAGATGCTGGCAACCTCCTGCTGTTCTCCCGGGACTGAAAGCCCTGCTCTGGGTCCCAGTGACATGCACGGGGGAGCCAGCAAGGCCAGGTGAGCTCTGGCTGGCAAGGCCCTGATGAGCTGTAGCCCTGAGCAGGTGGAAGGAGGGCTCTGTGAGCACTTTGTCCCAGCACCATCTCAACTGCATCACGTATGTATTCCTCCTAAAGCCCCAAGATGCTCCAATCTCATTAATTTTGTTGTTCTCGGCATTTGGCGTGTCTGACACACTGTGTGGAAAGGATGGGTGATGGGGAAGTGGATAGATGGACACTGAATGGTGGATAGGTGAGTGACAGGTGAATGAGCGGGGACTAGGAGGCAGGAGAGAGGGAGAGGCCGGGATGCAGATGGACAGAGAATGAGTGGATACTGTGAATAGAGATGGGCAGGTGAATGGGCGAACGCATGGGCGCATGGATGGGTGACAGCAGGTGATGGGTGGAGTGAGGAAAGGAAGGGCAAGAGATGCCTGAGCACAGGGAGACTGCTGCTGGTGGGTAGACAGCACGCAGGGGCAGGGCAGGGGTAGCTGCACAGATGGGCAGGGGCAAAGCTTTACGCAACTGAGGCTTGGTGAAGAGACCCGGGAGACACCCAAATGAGTCGAACAGAATGCTACAGAACAGAAACCAAAGGAAGTCTTCAAGGGCAGTCTCGCTGCAGGGGTTGCATGAGTCACCTCACGTACGCTCTTGGCCCAGAGCCCAGGACAGGCGAAGGCTGGGAGTGTTGGCCGCGGCTCGTGGAGGAGCCGGCATGGAAACAAGGAAACATGGCAAAGGCAGTGGTGAGGAACACGGCAGGCACATTTAAAAATAAAAGGATGGCAGGCAGGAGAGGCCGTGACAGAGGGGCAAGCCAGACGCCACTCTCCCAAGGGAATCTGGAAGCAAGGTCACAAAGTTGGGCCTCTGTGAGGGGCTGGAGACGGCCCGGGCTCACCAGCCCAGACTAGTGAGGGCACCAGGAAGCCTGGTGGAGTAGGCAGGGGACTGCAGCCGCCCTCCTGGGGCCAGCAGGGCGCCTGTGCCCAGGAGAGTCACTCAGGCCCTCCCATGCAGGCGGCGCGCAGGGAGGGTTGGGTTTCAGGTGCTGGCAGGGCCAGGGTGGTGCCCTTTCTGCCTGCGTCCTATGCCCCCACCCTGTGGCCCAAGTTGTCCTGCTCCCTTACAATGGCATCTGCCCCAAAATAGCACCCATGTGAGGGCACAGATTAGACCCCAAGGAAGAAGCAGGAGGGGGAGCAGAGCATCAAGTGACCACGTCAGGACCAGCAGGTATAAAGCCTGGTCGGGTGGCCTCCAGCCCAACTTCCCAACACCACAGCCTGTGAGCTCACCTCTGCTCTCGGATGCCATGGGGCTCAGCGACGGGGAGTGGCAGCTGGTGCTGAATGTCTGGGGCAAGGTGGAAGGGGACCTCAGCGGCCATGGGCAAGAGGTCCTTATCAGGTAAAGCTGCACCCCCTGCCACCCTCAGACCCCAGGCACTGGGCTACTGCATCAGCTGGCCAGGTAACCACTGGGCTGCAGTGGGGAGGCAGTCTCTTCCACTTGTCCCCTCTTGCCTCTATGTCCAGGAAAGGGGAAGGGTCTATCCGGGTGGCTACACTGGAGAGAACTCTAGGGTCTGAGGCCAGTGTGGGTCGTCCACAGGAGTCCTAGAATTACAATCAGCACTATGCAACATTGTCCAGCCACTTTACTTCATGGACAAGGACAAAGGGACCAGAGGGGAAGGGCATTCGCAGGGCTACAGACCCACTAAGGGCCGTAAAGGCTCAAGGCTTAGATGTGGCCTTCACAGTGGGACAGATCCCACTCCGGAGCTGGCTCTGCCGCCCAGTGGTGTGTACCTTACCTCTGGGACAAAGGCCACCTCCCTGAGCCTTAAAGCCCTCCCTGGTGCAGAGGGGACTCCTGTCACCCAGGGCCCCAGAGTGGCTCCCAAGTTTCAGTGAGACCCTGAAATGTTAGTGGCCATCGAGTGATGCTACCTACGCATGCCCCACAGTCAGAGAAGCAGAACCAGTGGTACCCCTGGATGGAGGGCCAGGATCGAGGTCTCCACCCTGCCCACCTGCCTGTGGTCAGAAGCAGAACCAAATTACCAGCTCGCTGACGGGCCTGTGGCTGATGCAAGACCCCCCACTACCCCCCATGGTGACAATGGTGACATCACCCTCTCCTAGCTCTTCCCATGGTCCTAGCAGGACCTGTCTGCCTCAGGGAGGGGTGGGTCCCAGTGGCTGGGAGTGGGTATACTTGAGGCCCCTCTAGGAGCCAGAGCAAATTGTCAACATGCACAGGCAATTCGTCATCTCCCTGTACCCTGCCATAGGGGACATGCAGGGAGGAGCTGGGCAGGCCTGCATGTGTTCCACGGAGCCCTGGCACTTTGGGGCACACCATTTCTGGCTGCAGGGTTGCACCAGGCCCAATCTCACCAGACAAAACCCAAACCCCAAGTTGGCATCAGCACCAAGCTACTGGCTCTTTGTGTGGCCCTGGGCACTTGTTTCCCACCCTGGGCCTGGGCCTCTGGGTGGAGAGAGAAGGCCCGGGGTCCCCCATCCTCCCTTGCTATTGAAGGGGCTGGTCAGTGGGACAGGAGGGACACAGACAGTAGAGTGGGCACCCTGCTGGTGACAGGCCCTCAGCCCACAGGGACCATGAAGAACCCCGAGGTAGGCGAGCATCACGGTGTCTCCTGCCTCGCAGGTGGGGACACAAAGCCCAAGGGGCGCTGCCTTACCCAGTGTCCGGTGCAGGACATGTGCCCACATCCCTACTCCTGTCTGTCAAGCATGGGGTGTAGGGTGATGGAGTCCCAGGTAGGGGCGGCCTCTTTGTCCTTGTGTGTGTGGCAAATCAACTCTCCCCACCCTGACTGGCACTAAGGGAGGACTTACATGACACAGGCCTCACTCCAAGGTGTGGGCACAGTGCTTGGAAGGCTGAGACAGGACACAGCCAGTCATTTCCAGTTTTTATTGGAGCCAAGGCTCCAAGGGACTATGATGTTTGGAAGCCACTGGTGGTAGCCGTGACTTTCCCTACTCCAGGAAGGAGATGGCCTAGAGTCCATCAGCCATAGTTGCCTCCTGGAGAGGGTGTACACATTGAAGAAGGCAGGGATGAGGAGGCGAAAGGCCGGGCTCCAGTATTCCTTCCAGCCTCTCAATGTCATCGTCCTCACTGCCCTGAACAGAGAGGTTAAGGGTCTGGCCCAAAGTCACACAGCTGCAGTGGGAAGGACACCAGCACTCCACACACACACTGCCCACCACCCTCAGGGTCTCTGTTTCCCACAGCATTTGAAGGGTGCTCAGCAGTGGGCAGATTCCTCAGGCTCCAGGGTGTCCAGCTGGACCTTGGTGAAGAGCACGCTGGGTTGGCCTTGCTTGAGGATGTCCCTGAGACCCAGCTGGTATACTGGGCAGGCAGAGATGGGGCACTGGGATGAGTTCAGAAGAGGGTCGGGGCCTCAACTTGCAGGCTGTGGACACCCAGCCACTGCCCCTGCCGGGCCTGCTCCAGGCTCGAAGGCAGAATGACAACAGCCTCACCCTGTACAGTGCTGCAAGCAGGGTCTGCTCAATTTGTGTCTGGTGACTCCAGAGGGCCCCAAACAGCCAAGCCCATGGCCCTGGTCCTAGCCTCAGCCCCTCCCACCCGTCTCCTCCAGTCTTGACCTTGGCCCTGCCTGTGGTCTTGCACCTGTCAGTGGGGACTCAGGGATCATTGTCACCAGATAATAATAGTCAGGCGCCAGGGGCCCTGGGAGGGGAGGTGGTGCAGATGCTGGCAATGACGCAGGTGGCTTGGCTGGGGTCCCGGGGTCGAGGCAGGGGACAACAGCCCACAGGACTCGGGACTTGGGGCCCAGCCTGCAGGGCCCTACAGGAGCACACACATCTGTGGCAACTCGAGTACTTGTGTTTGTGTCACCTGAGTGTACAGTGGTGATGGACCTGAGCGGTCCTAACGAGACAGAGCCTGGGCCTGACACAGGAGGCCTGGGGTATTCTGCCCAATTCCTGGCCTCCCCAGGCTTTCCTGCGAGCTGATGTATGTCAGTATGGGGTACATGGTCCCTGAGTATGGCCAGGATGTGGGGCGGGTGCTCTGGACTTTTGGGTCTGACTGGCTCAGCTCCATGTGGGGTGAGAGCGTCTCTGCAGGGCATGCGCCTTGCATCGAGAGGGGCAGATCTGCCGAGCATGTCACGCTCCATGACCAGGCACCAAGGCCTCTACTGCACCCACCGGGCCTTTCTCCTGGCCCTTCTAAGGGCTGCAGGCCTTCTGATGTCAACTGCCACCTCTCTAGGGCTCTCCAAATCCAGAAGCCACCCCATGCCCATGTCCAGAGGTGGCCACACAGGTCCTGGGCAGACCTTCTGGCCACCTCCAGTGCCTGGCAGGAGCAGTGCCTGGTCACCACCGGAACCCCAGCGGAAGCCGCACTGTGGTATTGGAAGGGCAGCACCTCAGCCCAACCTGGCCTCACACTGGCTGGGGATGGCATGCTGCCCTGCAGAGTGGGAGCGCCGGGAGGGGCCCTCATGAGGACATGGGCACAGCCAGCACAGCGCCTAGCCCCTCTCAGCCCTAGAACAGGCAACTCAGACACCACGTCCACACCCCACGTCCTGCTGGGAAGACTCACATCTGGTCCCTCCTCCCTCCCTGCTCTGTCCCTCAGAGAATGAGGAGGCCAGCAAGGGACAGTGGGTGACCACAGCCACAGAGCCTGTGGGGGCAGCTGGACAGCAGGGCCCCTGTCCCAGGCCTGCCTCCCACGTCCTCCAACTCTCCTCTCTGCACCGCAGGCTCTTCAAGGGCCATCCAGAGACCCTGGAGAAGTTTGACAAGTTCAAGCACCTTAAGGCCGAGGACGAGATGCGGGCGAGTGAAGACCTGAAGAAGCACGGCACCACCGTGCTCACCGCACTGGGCGGCATCCTGAAAAAGAAGGGGCAGCATGCAGCCGAGCTCACACCCCTGGCCCAGTCACATGCCACCAAGCACAAGATCCCAGTCAAGTATTTGGAGGTAGGCAGGACACGATGCACCCCTCCTGCCTCACTTTCATCCATCTGTGCTGGTCCTGCCTAGGCCTCAGCAGCCCGTGGGGAGGGCTGGGCACTGCCCCTGACACTGTCTGTGCAGGTGTATGGGGGGAACCCGGACAGGCGGAGGCACCATTGAGCTAGAGGAGGCAAAGCCGAGGCAGTTCAGGTGGGAGCCGTGGCCCACAGGACTCACGTGTGGGGAGGGACAGGAGGCTGCGCAATGCCCTCAGACCTGGGTGGAGGGGTCGGGGGACAGCTGGTTGTTGGTGGCGGACATCTGCACAGGTACCCGAGACTGGGAGCTGTGTCCAGGCGTTCCTTCCCTTTCACATGTAAGCACAGAGGAGGGCTCCAGACCCAGGGCCCGTCACCGGGCACACGGGCTCTCTGTCGAGCCCCAGGGCTGCTCCCAAGGGAGCTGCAGAAGCTCTAGTAGCCTCAGCACTGCTCCAAACAGGAAGTGGGGAGAGAGAAGTCTCCCTTCTGAGGACCCCTGGAGGGGCCCATCTAATGATTCTGTGTGCGCATTGGCCGGTATCTGTGAGGCCACATGTGCACTGGTTGCTCCCAACCCAAGCACACTGGTGTTTCCTACAGAGGAGAAGGGGAAACACAGACGGAGCAGGCACTTGCACGCTTGGCCTCGCTTTCTGACTGGGCTGAGGGGTGGAACAGCTGGTGGGGCAGGCAGCTGGATTCCACTGCCGATCCACAGGCCTGGGGTCCCCTCCAATACTGCTCACCTCCCCAGCCCCACCCCACACCGTAACCCCGCTCTCAGCTGCTCCCTGGCCCCTGCCTCTGTGGCCTTCCTCGTGGCCCTGTCGTGTCATGGTGCTGTGGGCTGGACAGGCCCTCACTCTTCCCCAGCAGCAAGCCAGGTGACTTGGCTCCACAGGCAGAGCCTGCTGCAGTGGGTCTGACCCAGCACAGGGAGGGCCCTGACATCCGGGCGAGGTGTCCTGGGGCCTCTGCATCCTATGGCCCTTGTCCTTGGGATGAGTACAGAGGCCTGCATGAGGGTGGCTCAGAGGTTCCCCAGCCAGGGGAGGCTGGGCTCTGCTACAGACACAAGGTCCAGCAAGTGGGGTGCCCGGCAGGCCCTCAAGCTCTTAGACTGAGGACACTGCCTGCAGGGACAGCAGTGCCTGCCCTGGGCCCCACGTTGGTCCACTGCATCTGTGACCTTCATGGTGAAGGCAAACCTGCAGGGGTAAACGGCAGGGACCGACTCTGCCAGGGCTGTCCCCACTCTCTCTACTTGTGTCACTTACCCCTGGAACATAGACAAGGAGAAATCTGCCCAGGTCCAGCCTCTGCTCCGGGCACTGTTGGCGGCTGGTCCGCTGTCTCCAGGCACAGGTCTAGCCCTGCCACCACCTGCTGCATGACCTCCATCCAGCACTCGGTTATCACCAACATAAAATGTCACCACTCGGAGCACAGCTGGGTGGTGGCTGGGATACAGCCCTGCCCACAGTTGGGAAACACAGCATTTCTGTCCCCAGCACAGCCCAGATGCAAACACAAGGGTTTGGCTCAGGGGAGCCAGGTCTTGGCCAGAAGCCTCCCTTGCACCCTGTTTTTGAATATGGATGGTATCATGCTGCCTCCAATCCACCTTTGGTTTTTTTTTTTGGTGTTTTTTTTTTTGGTTGTGGGGGAGTACTGGGGCTAGAAGCCAGGGCTTTCATACTGAGCCACATTCCAGCCTTTTTATTTTTATTTTTTTAATTTGAGACAGGGTCTTATTAAGCTGCCCAGGTGGGGCTTGAATTTGCAATTTTCCTGCCTCAGTCTCCCAGACTCCTGGGATTACACTTGGCTCCCATCAGCCCTCACAGCACTGGCCAAGTTGTTCAGGAAGCAGTTCCCTCTAGATGTCCAGACTGTGCAGTTGTGGACACAGTAGTGAAGTGAGGTACCCCTCACCCCGGAGCTGCAGCCCATACCAAGCTGCAAATGGCCATCTGCAGCCACAGCACCAGACCGCCGCCTCAGTTTCTCCCTTGGAAAGGCAGGTCGTGCAGCTTAAGCTCATCGGGCCTCAGCAACCTGCACCCTGTCATCCCACAGTTCATCTCAGAGGCCATTATCCAGGTCCTGCAGAGCAAGCACCCCGGGGACTTTGGTGCTGACGCGCAGGGCGCCATGAGCAAGGCGCTGGAGCTGTTCCGGAACGACATCGCCGCCAAGTACAAGGAGTTGGGCTTCCAGGGCTGAGCTGCCCTGGGCTCGGGAGCCGCTTGTTTGGGGAGGTGGCAGGGAGGGGCGGACCCTGTCACCCAGCCCTCTGCCCTCTGCCCAGCTCTCCCTACCTAAGCCACTCCGCTCCTCCCACCTTCCAGCCAGTCCTGTGCCCCAAATCCTGACCATTCCCCACCGACCAGTGCCCTACCACCCTTGCATGCACCATGGCAAGTGTGGGGTGACTCATGCTTCAATAAAGGACTCTGCAGCTTCCCCATGTCTGCCTGCATTGGGGCAGGCTTGTGCCCGCCACCCCACCCAGAAGGCACAGGCCTCGGGCACCAGCACAGCACTGAGACCTCACGGAGGGAGGGGCCCAGGGATGGCATGGCCCACCCTGATGGCCCAGGCCAGGTGCACGGGGCCTAGGAGCCAGGGGAGAGGGATGGATGGGAGGCCAGGGTTATTGTGGTCACCACAAAGCTAGCAACATGAGAAGGTCACCAGTTGGCTGATGGCTCAGCTGGGACTCAGACCACAACTAGGCTCTGGCAGGAACACAATGAGGCAGCCTTGGTGGCCAGCACAGATTTCCTGGCTCCAGGGAGAAGACTCATGGGTCCTCATCACCAGCAATGACCTGGAAGATACCACATCCACAAGAGCAGAGAGGGTCAGAAGCCTGTGTAGACTCAGGGCCGTGGTAGGCAGTGACAGTCCGCAATGGCCGGGGCAGGGAAGGCCTGGGCCTAGACACCAGATGCCACCTCCATTTTGGGCCAGTCTGGGAGGCTGAGTCAGGTGTTGGGGCCAAATGGCCTTGTGCCTGCCCTGTAGGTCACACAGCCATCCCACCATGATGCAGGCCACATGCCATGAGGTCTGAGCCACTGGCCTGCCCAGCAGCCCTGGCCTGAGACAATGAATCTATCCACAGCAGGCTCACAGGAAAGAACCAGTCATGTCCTCTGTTCCACATTCATTCCGCTCATGCGCATCCTGCGCCACAGGCAAAGAGACCTCGCTTCATCTCCACCTGTGCTTCAGCGAGCTTCTGCTCCAAATCCTTCATCTCAGCTTATTTTAGGCCCCTTCTGGCCCAGCCAGGGCCTCAGCCAATCCCAAGGACATGTGTGCCGCCACAGGCTGGGCGTGCCATCCCATGTCTCATGGGGCTGCTTTCAGGGGTACGCCTGAACAGAGGCTTGGGTCCCTGTGCTCAAGCTGGGGCTGGGGTAAGCAGCACTGTGCAGCTGTTTAGGTTGTGGCCCACGGCACGGAGTGGCCTAAGGGTGGACTTACGCAGTGACAGAAACAGAAGGCCCTGTGAGGACTCTTGTGCACGTGGAGCCCGGTGTGTCTGTGTGCACGCTCCCGTGTCTGTGTGCACACCTGTGTGCATGCGTGTGCACATATGTGCCTGCATATGCATTCTCAGGGAGATGTCCCCAGGAGACACGTGTGGAGTGCACATGTGCATTGGCCTGACTCCTGCTTTCAGTGTGACTAGTGCTTAGCCTCGCAGACCATCTCCTGCAGGCCATGCAAACCCCAGGGCCACACAATGACTTCTGTCACCAGCTGTGTGAGGCAGCCCAGGACCATAGCACTGCGGGCATAGGTGAGCAATAAGCCCAGCTCAAGTGAGACTGATGACAGTTGACAAACCACACTGGTGCACCCAGGATGGCCACACAAGCTGTCACCACAGGGAGCCAAGGGACCTACACCTTGGAAGCAACAGGCTACTGTGACCAACAGCTCAGGCACTTGATTGAACTTCTGCCCCGGCTGGTACTCAGACATATGCTAAACCATAAAAGGCTGAAATCACTAACAACTTCTGCCAGCTGCCAGCTGTACTGATAACTCACTACTGTTATGGACTATTGGACTATATAGGGCTCAATTGCTGTATACTGGTACCAAAATCCTTGAACTGGCATCAAGAATAAATAGATCTTCTGAAGAGTTCTCCAAACACAGCTTCTCCCACAGCTATGGAACACTCATCATCCACAAAACAAGACAAAAAAAGGAAGACATGTTGGAACTGCTAAAGCTGGGAATTGATCCTGTGTGGGACCCACCCACCCATCAGGATCACCTTACCAGGGTCCCTGTTAGCTGCCAAATGTAGGCATCTGTTGGTCTCTCAGTAGTCCCTGGGAGAAGACTAGTGAGAGGATTCAGAAAATAAAGACCAGAGATAACAGCTGAGGTCAGGTGGTGGACCACGCCTGACAGGCAAAGGCCCCCGAGCAACAGTAGGGGCATTTATGTATACCTTTGCAAAGTCATAAGACACAATGTTACCTGGAGACTAACAGCCCACAATGTCCAGCAGGGTGTTTTTCTCAAGACTGAAGTAGCTTGACTGCTCTGGGCAATGAGGCCTCAGCCTGCCCTCTCACGTAAGATCAATTTCCAGCCCGCTCCCAGCTGTAGCCTGGTGTTAGAGGGAAAAAGAGAGCAAGAAAGGAAGAGAGAAAGGAAAGACAGAGAGGAAAGAGACAGGGAGGGATATGGAAAGAGTGAAAGAGATAAAGAAAGATGGAGAGACAAGGAGAGATGGCAGGGCGGGGGCAAAAGTCCCTGGAAGGCTAGCAACATCCTCTCTTGTTGGCAGGGAACCCTGTGTCTCCAGCCTCACTCCCCATGAGCAGCCTCATCCACAGGTCCCACCCCTGCCTGCCCCTGGCTGGCACAGGGAAAAAGGGTGACCAGGGCAGCCCTGTCCATCTCAATAGGAAGGATTGTGGGGTGCTGAGAGCCACCTGGCAGAACAGCGAGACCAACCTGCTTCACCTTGATCTTGGCTGCCATGGGAGTTAGGGAGAAGAAAGTCAGGGTCACTGCTTGACCACAATTGGCCTGACCTTCCTCTGCTCCATCTGGGCACCAGGATCTAGCCTCCCTGTGGACACAATTCTGGGCTCTGGGACTCTGACCACAGGACATGCAGCAGAGCAAGAGAGGCGCACAGCAGCTTAGGGTTGGGGTTAGGTTGGATATGACCTGGTGGTGGGTCTGGGAGGTCACTGGGGTCAAGGTTATGGTTAAGGGTTAATTGGAGTCAGGGAGATGGCTCAGTAGAATAAGCGCTTGCCTGGCAAGTGCAAGGGCCTGAGTTCAGTCCCCAGTTCTGCTCAAAAAAAGGGTTAAGGATTAGGGTAAGTGTTAGAGGTCACATTATCAGGGCTCCAAGAGGTGATTGGGATCAGATGTCACTACCAGGTTATGGTTAGGGTAAGTGTTAGAGG